TATCAGCAGCTGTAATAACATCTCGTGTAGCAGCAGCAACAGCTGTAAAAACATCATTCCGTGCAGCAGCAGCAGCAGCAGCTATAATATCATCCCGTGCAACAGCAGCAGCTGTAACAACATCATTTCGTGCAGCAGCTGCTGTAATAACATCTCGTGCAGCAGCGGCTATAATATCTCGTGCAGCAGCAGTTGTAATAACATCTCGTGTAGCAGCAGCTGTAATAACATCATCCTGTGCAGCAGCAGCAGCTGTAATAACATCTCGTGCCGCAGCAGCCGTAATAACATCATCCCGTGCAGCAGCAGCAGCTGTAATAACATCATCCTGTGCAGCAGCAGCAGCAGCTGTAATAACATCATCCCGTGCAGGAGCTGCAGTTGTAATATCATTGTGGAAAATACTGTATATATTTTCCAGAAATACAGTAGTTATATGTAAATAGATGGCCATACTGTATTTAATAAAAATTTGTCATAAAAAATGGGAAGCCTGCGCCTGCGCAGAGAGACTCGCCATTGTTGTTTGAATTGCACACAACATTAGTGAATATTGGGAAGAATTTTCGTGCTCTAGAGGTAAAATTGGGCTGACACCTCTCAAATAGGAGCCGAAATTGTTGGATGTGCATTCCTGCATAACTTAAGATATCAGGCGACTGGACAAGACAGTTCCAGGAACCTCAGATAAGTCTTATGTTGTAACTCTGGCCAGTATTATTTTCATGGATAGACAGTGAGGTTTTCTGAGTATGATACACATTAATCTCTAGTCAAATTGGTGAGTGATTTTAAGATATATTCTTCTGTTATGTAAATGTTTGTATATATAATCACTTATTAATTTTAATATACAGTCCACAAATTTATATATTTACCAGAATTCCTGGTGATACATATTTCATTTGTAATTAATAGGTCTAGAGATCGACACCATGCCTAACCCTTCTAGGGTAGGGTAGGTGCCTGAGCCCGAGCCTTTAGCTCATAAGACTGTCATTCCCGGTACCCCCCTTGGGGCGGGGATGGCAGACCAGAGAGGCCTAGCTTGTGGCTAGGCCTGGGGACAGTTGGTCCCAAAGATGAGGAGGTACTTGTGCCTCCTCCCATGGGAGACTTAGGTCTCAGACACTCCCTAAAGAGGGAGCCAAGGCCGGGCCACCACTTGGAAAAGGCCCGGGCCGGGAGAATACCGGCTAATCTTTAATAATAATAATAATAGGTCTAGAGCAACTTGTGGATAAGACAGTGGTAGGTATCGAAGGGGGACATTTCTGCGACCTAGGTGTCCCAAATTCCTACTTGTCTATGTAACTGATGAATAATAATTATCTTTGTTATCATTTACTGTTATGTACATAATGAGTTACATTCAGATAAATGTAATTTTCCACAATCATTCCATGCAGCAGCAGCAACTGTTTTAACATCCCGTGCAGAAGCAGCAGCTGTAATATCATCCCGTGCAGCAGCAGCTTTAGTAATATCATCCTGTGCAGCAGTAGCAGCTGTAATAACATCTCGTGCAACAGCAGCAGCTGTAATATTATCATCCTGTGCAACAGCAGCTGTAATAATATTCTGTGCATCATCAGCTACAATAACATCATTTCGTGCAGCAGCAGCAGCAGCACCAGCAGCAGCAGCAGCATAGTTGTAAATAATTTACAACTATGCTGCTGCATAGTTGTAAATTATTTACAAATATTTCATATCGTGAAACAGCAGTTGTAATAACATCATATCGTGCAGTAGCAGCTGTAATAACATCATCTCATGCAGCAGCAGCAGCTGTAATAACATCTCGTGCAGCAGCACCAGCAGCTGTAATAACTATATCACATGCAGCAGCAGCAGCTGTAATAACATCTCGTGCAGCAGCACCAGCAGCTGTAATAACTATATCACATGCAGCAGCAGCAGTTCCTGTAATAACATTTCGTGCAGCAGCAGCTGTAATAACATCATATCTTGCAGCAGCATGTTTACCTGGAGTTTACCTGGAGAGAGTTCCGGGGGTCAACGCCCCCGCGGCCCGGTCTGTGACCAGGCCTCATGGTGGATCAGAGCCTGATCAACGAGGTTGTTACTGCTGGCTGCACGCAATCCAACGTACGAGCCACAGCCCGGCTGGTCAGGTACCGACTTTAGGTGCTTGTCCAGTGCCTGCTTGAAGACAGCCAGGGGTCTATTGGTAATCTCCCTTATGTATGCTGGGAGGCAGTTGAACAGTCTCGGGCCCCTGACACTTAGTGTGTTGTCTCTTAACGTGTTAGTGACACCCCTGCTTTTCATTGGGGGGATGTTGCATCGTCTGCCGAGTCTTTTGCTTTCGTAGTGGTTGTTTTTTGTGTGCAAGTTCGGTACTAGTCCGTCTAGGACCCACATAAAGGATCACTTGGACAACGAAATATGGATCCCAGGTTACAACCTATACAGATGTGACAGTGTGAACAGGCAAAAGGGGAGGGGGGTTGGCCTGTATATCGCAGTCACTTGTTTGCACAGAACTGCTTAATGCCTCAAATGATGTAGTGGAAGTTTTAGCAGTAAAGATCGAGAACCAAAACCTAGTCATTGTGGTAGTCTACAAGCCTCAAGATGCAACGTCCCAGCAATTCCAGGAACAGCTGTTAAAAATTGACCACTGTCTGGAAAATCTGCCAGCTCCTGCCCCCAAAATTTTGCTCCTGGTGGATTTCAACCTGTTAGTGAAGATGAGGTCCAGTGTAACATCCCGTGCAGCAGCAGCAGCAGCAGCAGCAGCAGCAGCAGAGGAAGCAGCAGCAGAGGCAGCAGCAGCAGAGGCAGTAGCAGCAGTAGAGGCAGCAGAATCAGCAGCAGAGGCAGCAGCAGTAAAGCAGCAGCAGCAATAGGTGCAGCAACAACAGCAGGAGATACAGCAGAAATGCAACATCAGCAGCAGCAGCAGCAGCAGCAGAGGCAGCAGCAGCAGAGGCAGCATCAGCAGAGGCAGTAGCAGCAGTAGAGGCAGCAGAAGCAGCAGCAGAGGCAGCAGCAGTAAAGCAGCAGCAGCAATAGGTGCAGCAACAACAGCAGGAGATACAGCAGAAATGCAACATCAGCAGCAGGAGATGCAGCAGAAGTAGGGGCAGCATCAGATGCAGCAGAAGCAGCAGGAGCAGCAACAGAAGCAACAACAACAACAACAACAACAGCAGCAGAAGATACAGCAGAAACAGCAACATCAGCAGCAGGAGATGCAACACAAGCAGCAGCAGCAGCAGCAGATGCAACAGAAGCAACAGAGACAGAAGAAGCAGCAGTAGCAGCAGCAAAGGCAGCAACAACACCAGAAGAGGCAGCTGCAGCAGCAGAGGCAGCAACAACAGCTTAGGCAGCAGCAGCAGCAGCAGCAGCAGCAGCAGGAGATGCAACAGAAGCAACGGAGGCAGCAGCAGCAGAGGCAGCAACAACACCAGCAGATGCAGCTGCAGCAGCAGAGGCAGCAACAACAGCTTAGGCAGCAGCAGCAGCAGAGGCAGCAGCAGCAGAGGCAGCAGCAGCAGCAGAGGCACAGCAGCAGAGCAGAAGCAGCAGCAGCAGAGGCAGCAGCAGCAGCAGCAGAGGCAGCAGCAGCAGCAGAGGCAGCAGCAGCAGCAGCAGAGGCAGCAGCAGCAGCAACAGAGGCTGCAGCAGCAGCAGCAGCAGCAGCGGCAGGGCAGCAAGCAGAGGCAGCAGCAGCAGAAGCAGCAGCAGCAGAGGCAGCAGCACGCAGAGCAGCAGAGGCAGCAGCAGCAGCAGCAGAAAGGCAGCAGGCGCAGAGCAGGGCAGCACAGAGCAGCAGCAGCAGCAGAGGCAGCAGCAGCAGCAACAGAGGCTGCAGCAGCAGCAGCAGCAGCAGCAGCAGCAGCAGCAGCAGAGGCAGCAGCAGCAGGAGCAGCAGAAGCAGCAGCAGAGGCAGCAGCAGCAGCAGCAGAGGCAGCAGCAGCAGCAGCAGAGGCAGCAGCAGCAGCAGCAGCAGCAGCAGCAGCAGCAGCAGCAGCAGAGGCTGCAGCAGCAGCAGCAGCGGCAGCAGCGGCAGCGGCAGCGGCAGCAGCAGCAGCAGCTGCAGCATCAGCAGCAGCAGCGGCACAGCAGCAGCAGAGGCAGCAGCAGCAGCAGCAGAAGCAGCAGCAGCAGCAGCAGAGGCAGCAGCAGCAGCAGAGGCAGCAGTAGCAGCAGCAGAGGCAGCAGTAGCAGCAGCAGCAGCAGAGGCAGCAGCAGCAACAGAGGCAGCAGCAACAGCAGAGGCAGCAGCAGCAGCAGCAGCAGCAGAGGCAGCAGCAGCAGCAGCAGAGGCAGCAGCAGCAGCAGCAGAGGCAGCAGCAGCAGAGGCAGCAGCAGAAGTAGCAGCAGCAGAGGCAGCAGCAGCATCAGCAGAGGCAGCAGCAGCAGAGGCAGAAGCAGCAGCAGAGGCAGCAGCAGCAGCAGAGGCAGCAGCAGCAGCAGAGGCAGCAGCAGCAGCAATAGAGGCAACAGCAGCAGCAGAGGCAGCAGCAACAGCAGAGGCAGCAGCAGCAGCAGAGGCAGCAGCAGCAGCAGAGGCAGCAGCAGCAGCAGCAGAGGCAGCAGCAGCAGCAGAGGCAGCAGCAGCAGAGGCAGCAGCAGAAGTAGCAGCAGCAGAGGCAGCAGCAGCATCAGCAGAGGCAGCAGCAGCAGAGGCAGAAGCAGCAGCAGAGGCAGCAGCAGCAGCAGAGGCAGCAGCAGCAGCAGAGGCAGCAGCAACAGAGGCAGCAGCAGCAGAGACAGCAGCAGTAGCAGAGGCAGCAGCAGCAGTAGCAGCAGCAACAGCAGCAGTAGCAGCAGCAGCAGCAGCAGCAGCAGCAGCAGCAGCAGCAGCAGCAGTAGCAGCAGCAGCAGCAGCAGCAGCAGCAGCAGCAGCAGCAGCAGCAGCAGCAGTAGCAGCAGCAGCAGCAGCAGCAGCAGCAGCAGCAGTCGCAGCAGCAGCAGCAGCAGTAGCAGCAGCAGCAGCAGCAGTAGCAGCAGCAGCAGTAGCAGCAGCAGTAGCAGCAGCAGTAGCAGCAGCAGTAGCAGCAGCAGCAGCAGCAGCAGCAGCCGCAGCCGCAGCAGCAGCAGCACACCCAGTGGTGGACATCTTGGAGCCAGTGTCTGAGTGCTAGTGTTTACACTGTCATTTAATTAACCCCTTTAAAGGTCCCCCTTTAATCTGACCTTAAAAGTTGGCGCACTGGACGTCCAGGAGGAAGTCACCTTCACCATTACACTTCTTCCATCGTCATTCAAGAAGGAGGAGAAGGAGAAAAGAAGAAGGAGAACCAGCAGCTAATCAGGAAAAATATATCAGAGGAAAAAATTGCGCCCCTGGACCTTAACCTATTTAGTGGACCCAATTTGGCCACCCCTAACAACCCAATTCCATCTATATAAGAACTTCTCAGTCAGTAATGGGAAGGAGTAAGAACAACCTCACTTAACCAGCTCTACCAGTAGATTTAACATATTATCATGGCGTAAGTAATGTTATTTATATTTTTGGTTGTAAATTTCTAGTTTAGAGTCATTTCTAGGGGATGACCATATGCTAGTGAAGGGGTTTTAATCCTAGGAATTGGAGCTAATGCTTTCTTGGGACACCCTCCCATTCCCCATGTGCCGTATAGACGGGTTTAGCGCTTCCCTAGAACATAACAATAATAATAAGAATGATAATTATAATAATACAGTCCCAGGGAGGACATTTTATATATTCCGTATATATACATATAATATTTTCAACCATATGTTCCTTGCTAAGTGGGACCGTGCGTGTTTGGAGCTTCCCCATACATGGAATAATAATCCTTACTATTATGTTAATTTCAGACTGTATCTTACAGGTTTCTTCTGTATTCCACAGTGAGGCTTTAAATTGTATGATATTCCAAGGACCTTAATGGAAATAAGTCATTGATTTTTTTATTTAAAGTAATTTACGCTATGTATGATTATTATACTTGTGTACCTGTACCTAAATAAACTTATTATCTTACAGATTTCAACTGTATCTTACAGCTTGACTAAATAATAAGATATTACAAGGACCCTTATGAAATTCAAGTCACTCTGACTTTTTTGGTTATACTAGGTAATTGACGCGTTATTATGAATGATAATAGTACTTATGTGTACTTGTACCTAAATAAACTTATTAATATTTACTTTTTACATTTTTTCATTGAAACAGCTTAATGGATGGAAAAGATCATTTAACTTTCACAAAAAATGGTCAAAAAATAATCTGTTAGTTTTAATATGTAGTAATATGTTGGAATGGTTAAGGTGTTGTGCTGGTGATGGTCAGACAGATGGTTTGAACTGCCAATAGATTTAATATATAAAATAGGATGATAACCTTCATAAACCTAGGTCAAGTTGGGTTATTTTTTGTATTACAAAAGTTACATAATATTGGGACATTTTTGAATAGTCATAAAGATTTAAAAGATTTTCTAGTTAGGTTTCTTACGGCTTTAGTGCTCCCCTTGATTATAATAATAATCTAGTTAGGTTAAGTTAACTTTAGTTTAGCAGTGACGGCTATTGAACCAGCCGAAATATAAACATATATTGAACTGTGTTGCTTGATATGTTGCAGTTAACTATTTTCAATTGATACTCTTTTTGTGGCTTTTATAGTTTTATGTAACTTAGCCTAATCTAATCTATTAACTAGTTGCTACCCAACTGCCCTGTCAATTGACTTTAACAAACTGTTACACAAATAGACACTCTCTATTTAGAATAGGTTAGGTTACTGCAAAACACTATTGTAGATATACAAATGACGATTTATGCTGATTTAACATAAGATTATTTAGATTCCTCAAAAGAATTTAAAATCATTGGCTTTCCCATTTTATCTTATCTAGACACAAATTCAAGTATTGTGGGTTCGTTTTATGTAAATTCACAATGCAGTGCCCAACTTCTATTGGTAATTCCATGTGTACTGTACTCCTTCATCATATATGATCAATAGGATTTCCAAAACGTGTTGAAGATTCTTATTTTGTGGGATTAAGTGTTGATAAAGGGAAATAACTCACTTTGATTTTTGGGGTTATCCTAGGTAATTTACACTATGTATGATAATTGTACTTATGTGTACGTGTACCTAAATAAACTTGCTTAATTATTGTGCTTAGTACAGCTGCCATAGGTGGTTGTACAGTATAAAGTCAGGGATACCTATACAGTATGTATATCACTCCTAACATACTCTATACTACAGTGTATATAGCACATACAAATTTTTTTTTTTTTTTTTCAACAAGTCGGCCGTCTCCCACCGAGGCAGGGTGACCCAAAAAAGAAAGAAAATCCCCAAAAAGAAAATACTTTCATCATCATTCAACACTTTCACCACACTCGCACATTATCACTGTTTTTGCAGAAGTGCTCAGAATACAACAGTCTAGAAGCATACACATATAAAGATACACAACATATCCCTCCAAACTGCCAATATCCCAAACCCCTCCTTTAAAGTGCAGGCATTGTACTTCCCATTTCCAGGACATACAAATATGTAATCATATTAGTTACATAAAAGTGACATATAGTGATGGCTTAAACTAGAATATCACTATGTATATAAAAATAGCTGAAATGGGTCTCCTTCCTTGTGTGTTATCAAGTTTACAGTCTTGTAGTAATTTATTCAGAGATAGTTGTCAAGTTTGTATACTCTGAGAAGTGTGTACTGTATGTCACAGTGAATGTTCACTGAGAGTTACTTTATTCTTCATTTTAGGGAATAAAGTCCTGTGATATGGAACGTTAATGACCCTTGTTCAGTCAAAAGGCTGTAATCCTAACGAGCAGACTCTTGTACAGATTCCTCCAAAAAGGAAAAGATCTATTGTAAAGTAAAAGGACTCAAGTGCAACTAATGTGTCATTTTATTGTGGCAACGTTTCACTCTCCAGGAGCTTTGTCAAGCTGTAACGGCTTAACAAAGCTCTTGGAGAGCGAAATGTTGCCACAATAAAATGTCATGTTAGTTACACTTGTGTCCTTTTACTTTACATATTATCGGTAATTCTACCAACATATATACAAAAGAGCTATTAAAACAAGCATATAAACAATGTTAATTTGTTAATGATTTTTAATTGGGGTTGGCTATGATTGTTTTGGTAAACTTCTGCTCAGAAGTTGTCTTTTGTTTTTTTTCTACTTGTTGACTTTGGGCCATTTGTCTTCATGCTTGTTAAAGTTTCTTTACCTTCTTGAATTTGCATGACGTAGGCTCCGGCTCTCACTCCTGCTTATTGACTTTCGAACCACTCTTGTGGTTGAGTGAAGATTTATGTAGTGCTCTTGCAGTTTTTGTATTTTTTTTGTGGTTTTTGTAGTGTTTTTGCAATTTCTGTAGTTTTATTGTAGAAGAAATAATTAAAACCACTAGAAAACTATCTTCAAAAAACAAATCATTAAAATTAAATGAAAATAAAAGATTTTTTCTAACTGTTCATTGCAAAGAGGGCTGGTTGTATATACAGCCTCTCCTTACTTAATGACAGAATTCCATTCCTAAGACCATGTCGGTAAATGAATTCAATGCTAAGCAGGGAGCATACTACAGTTGTAGTGTGTTTATGTCATCCATCTTTGAAATTGTTTTAATGTCACCGTTGCACCATACATAACATTTTTAGTATATTTTTAAATGTTTATGCACTACATAGTGTATTGTATATTGTAATAAACAGGATAGAGGAAATCAGCTCTAATATTCATTATTTCGGTATGCTTACTGGTCACAGAGCCCATCGTAAGTCCAAGTCGTTGGTAAACGAGTACATCACTAAGTGAGGAGAGGCTGTACTCTGAAACCTTCCTTTCTGTATTAAATATTCCAGATTTGACTAATTTTTTCCTCCTTGCAGTCCCCAAAGAGAAAGAAAGGGCAACCCCAATGCCTTACTAGATGTAGGTGGACGAGATGATGATGGTGATAGTGATGATGACTTCCAAACCAGTCGTGTCAGTTTTTCCACATCCGTCACATCGACCACTAGGAGAAGGATAATGGTGCCTAGTCATATTTCTCCCAAAAATAAGGAAAATAAACCCAAGAAAAATAAACCAATCATTTGTCAAAAATCGCAGGTTTGAATATGATCAAGTTTTATGGTTTCAGTCATGTACAAATTTAATAACAGTATGTGCAATAATAGGTGTTAAAAAGGCATTCATGGAAATTGTTCAGTTATGTTATATAAAAGTAGTATAGATAATTTATTACTGGTTTCCCTTACTTTATGTGGTTAAGTTTTAATTAATTTCATGTTATGTGAATTTTTATTTTGTGCTGTTACCTCATTTCTACCAGTAATTCGCTGTGTGCGGTATAAATTCTCTCTTATGCAATCATCCAAGTGCAGCACCAATTGATATTCGAATAGTATCCCTTCTAATACTGCTATGGGAAATTCAATGATCATATTTTGAGCAAAATCCTGTGGCTGGTTTTCAGTTTGTCTTGTGTCAAGTCAAATGAATATAAATACCAAGGCAGATGAAGTAAGATGACACAAATTCAGGATTACATTCTACATATTTTGGTTTAACTTTATGTGCCATTGGGCAGAAATATATCTATCGCGTAAAGTGAAGCATACCTGTACAGTACTGTATTTTTGTGTCTAATGTGTGTTTTTTTTACTTTCGCTGTTAGCTGTAGTAATTTAGAGTGTACTTCCAGAGTCAGGAGCTGAAGAAATTACACGTGCTAAGGAATGTGGATGCAGAGAGAAAACGTGTAGGGCATTGTGTTAATTATTCCAGCCGTAACATTGTTCATTATTTAAGAAATGTTACACATGGATCACGGCCATTGTTCTGGCAGTACCAGGTAATGTAATCCAAATGTAACACCTACTTAATTTAATAAGCAAGTAACCAGCTTAATTTATGTAAAACTACTAGGTTATTCCTTATTGCATGTGGTACAGCTTAATGCTACAGTAATAATAATAATAATAGACATCAGATTGAGAGGGAGTATGGAGGAAGTGAATGTATTTAGGTATGTATTTGGAAATGTGTTGACAGATGGGTCTTTGAATGGTGAGGTGGATCATAGGATAGAATAAGGTTTAAAAAAAAGTAGGCAGGGTATTGAGGCATATGTGGAAGAAAAATTATAAATGGAAGCAAACATAATACAGTGGACCCCCGCATAACGATGGCATCGCATAGCGATTTTTCCGCATAACGATTACTTTTATCGCAAAATTTTTGCCCCGCATACCGATTAAAAACCCGCATACCGATTTTCGTCCGAGACGCGTCCAATGTGCCCTCACATGTGCCGGCCGTCCCATTGTTTACCAGCCAGCCTCCGCGGTAACATCCAAGCATACACTCGGAATATTTCGTATTATTACAGTGTTTTCGGTGGTGTTTCTGGAAAATAAGTGACCATGGGCCCCAAGAAAGCTTCTAGTGCCAACCCTGTGGTAAAAAGGGTGAGAATTAGTATGGAAATTAAGAAAGATTTGAAGGGTTTGGGGCTAACCCTGAGAAGCCTATGCCATTGTGGAATCCATTGTGCCTACTTCAAAGATTAAGGAAATGTGTGCAGAGTGGTTTGAACTGCAAACCTTTATAGATGAAAATCACCCTGACACAGCTGTTGCAAGCCGTGCTTGTGACTATTTCAATGACAATGTTATGGCCCATTTTAGGAAAGTCTTGAAGAAACGGGAGGTACAGAGCTCTATGGACAGATTTGTTGTGCGACAGAGGTCCAGTGACTCTGAAGCTGGTCCTAGTGGCATTAAAAGAAGAAGGGAAGTAACCCCAGAAAAGGACTTGCTACCTCAAGTCCTAATGGAAGGGGATTCCCCTTCTAAACAGTAAGAAGATAATGCTCTCCCCTCCTCCCATCCCATCAATCATCACCAGATCTTCAATAAAAGTAAGTGTCATGTAATTGTGCATGCCTTTTTCAGTTTGTGTGTATTAAAATTAACATTTCATGTGGTAAAAAAAATTTTTTTTCATACTTTTGGGCGTCTTGCACGGATTAATTTTATTTCCATTATTTCTTATGGGGAAAATTAATTCGCATAACGATTATTTCGCATAACGATGAGCCCTCTTGCACGGATTAAAATCGTTAACCGGGGGTCCACTGTAATTCAGCAGAGTACATATTACTAACACCTTTGTATGGTTGTGAGGTATGGTCTTTACATGTTGCAGCAATTGGAGGATGTGTGTAGTAGTAATGTTATGTTTAACCCATTGTCCAGATCCCTGATCTGAAAGTTGTCCACAAGTCCAAGAATTTAACAAAATATTTTTTGTTATTTTTCTTATGAAATGGTAGAGAATCTTTTTCTGAAGGTATTAAAAAAATAAGTACGAAATTTGATGGAAAATTGATGACACTATGCTTTTGCAAATTTTGTTTATGTCAGTAAAATTTTTTTACACATCGGCGTTTTTTGGCCCACTTTAAAGCCCTTTTTTTAAGCCATTTACATTGTTCCATTAGCCCAAATTTTTTTAGCTTTTTTGCTAGTATTTATCATGGTTAACTTTACGTAATTATCCTATCTTCATTCTTAAAAAAAATAAAGTTTGTATGGTTTTGACATTCAGCCAAATATCTGACTTTTGCCCTCACAAAAATAAAAAACAAATTATGATATCTCAAAATGATTCTCACCAGCTTGTAAAACATTCTTTCCTTTATGTTGTTTGTGAATTTCATTGCATTCCTGCTATTATTAACGACAGTAAGTCAATATATATGTGAATAACTTGCTTCCGAGATAATCTGCAAAACAGCCGGACCACCGATTTTTTTTTTTTTTTTTTTTTTTGAGAAATAGCATTTTTCTCAATTTTATACTGCATTACGAATGTATATCATAGTTACCCATATTCGTTTTCTTTAATATAAGGACCCTGGAGGTGATAGGAGGAGAATGGAAGCCATCCCTAACTATAGGAATATTATATTCCCGAGGGAGCGCTTGAAGAATGTGCCATATATTCATTCTGGAGTATTTACCATATTTCTTTGTTATTTATATTGTTTATTATGTCAGATCAATTGTGATAGATAAATAAGCTGTAGAAGCGATAATAGCGTTATATTGAAGCATATTCCCCGGCTATCCCGAGACTGGAATTTCTGATGACGTAAGCAAGATGTTCCCAGAAGGTTCCTGATTGGCTGTAAGTCTACGTATAAGTCCCACCCACTTTCTTATGATGCCAAATCATCAGTTATTATATTAGAAAGAATAATACAATAAATACACGAAAAAAAATCGGAAAAAAACCATGAAAATTGACGATAGGTGAGCAGACCTGCCGCGGGTGGTGACGTCACCCTAGGTGTTTTAAATGACTATAATTCCTTGTAGGGATGTCGTAGAACAATGGTTCTTGTACCATTGTGTTGCCAGAGAGTTAAGCTATTTTTCTATATGATTAACCCAATTTGTGAATTTTTTCGAATATTTTTTCGTTCGCGCTGGGCGAGCTCTATGGGCCCCTAACTACCCAATAAAGTGATCAGAAATTGATAATTTGGCCAGTTTCACACAAATTTGAAAATACGCCAACTTCAAAATAGGGTCCAGAATAAACAATGCAGACATTCTTGGCACTAAAATAACACTTCCTCTGTTTAGTAGTTATGTTCCCAGGCTTTACACATGAATTCCATTTTAAATTTTTCATACAAAAAAATAGAAGTTTTACTCTTATGCATTATTGTAATACTGTAATTGTATAAATAACGTCAGTGCATTCGTAAACTCATATTAGACTGGCCAGTTGGACGCGTATAGGACAAGCGAGATGATTTTTTTGCTCTGGAACATAAGCAGAAATTGAACATTCCCACTACTTCGAGCTCACTTTCAAGCTTTTTTCAGTCCTGAAACCAGTCAGAATCATGTCTGTTTCTGTAATACATATTTTCCTTTCTATGAAATGAGAATTTTCTTTTATATGAAATGAGACTAAGAATGCAGCCATTTAAACCATCCGAAAATACACTGCAAATTCGCTTTTTTTAAACCCAAAAAAACGGTTGCGTGGGGCAGGATTATTTTTATATGGTACACACTTACCAGTAGTAGTAGGTAGTAGTAGTAGTTAGGTAGTAGGTTGGTAGACAGCAACCACCCAGGGAGGTACTACCGTCCTGCCAAGTGAGTGTAAAACGAAAGCCTGTGATTGTTTTACATGGGTGGGTTGCTGAGTTTTTTGTCTGTCTCATAAATATGCAAGATTACGGCAGTCTTGCTATTCACTTACACTTAGGTACACTACACATACATGTAACATTTATTTATACACATCTCTGAGTTTTTTTGATTTTTTTAAAAGTTTTTTGTCTTATTAATTTTCCTTTTTCCAGGGGGAAGTGGAATAAGAATCTTTCCTCCGTAAGCCATGCGTGTTGAAAAAAGTAACAAAATCCCCGGGAAACAATGGGTAGTCCCCCTTTTTCCTGTAAAATTACTAAAAAGAATAAGAAGAAAAAATTGTCAAAGTGGGGAAATCTGAATGTGCAGGATGTGGGGCAGAGGATAAAAAGAGTGATTGTGGAGTTTGAATGAGAAGAAGTGGATGTCCTGGGGTTTTAAATGAAACAAAACTGAAGGGGGTGGAGAGTTTCAGTGGAGAGGAAAAATGGGATTAGGTCAGGGGTTTCAATAGAGTTAGAGCTAAAGAAGGAGTGAATAATGTTGAAGGATAAGCTAGGCAGGAAAAAGGGGTTTTTAAATTATTTTTGGTTTTGGGGGGAAAAAAAATGGGGTGGAAAAGGGGGGTTTAATAAGGGGCCCAAAAAAAAAGGGGGGGGGGTTTTTTGGGAAAGGGGAAATGGGGGGGTTTTAAAAAAAAGGGGGGGTTGGGGATTTCAAAAAAGGGGTAAAATTTTATAAGGGAAAGGGAAAGGGGGGGGTTTGCCGGGAAATTAAAGGGGTTTTTGGGTTGGTGGTTTGGTTGTTTTTTTGGGGGGGTTTTTTGGTTTTGTGTGTTTTGGTGTTTTGTTTGTTTTGGGGAAAAATTATCCCAGGGAATTTTTAAGACCTTAAAGGACAATTTATTTCACAAAAAGTAAAAATAAAAAAAAAAAACAAAAAGGGGGGGTAAAATTTTTCTAAAAAAAACTTTAATTAAATTTGGGGGGTGGGCATTCAAAAAATTTTATTAAAATTTTAAAAATGCATTTAAAGGGGGGCGGGTTTTTTTTGGGGGGGGCAAAAAAAGGGGTGGGGGTTTTTAAAAAAAAAAGAAAAAACCCCCCAAAAAAAATTTATAAAAAACCCCCCTTTTTAAAAAAAAAAAGGGGGGGGGGAAATAAAAAACTTGAGGGGGAACAAAAAAATTTTTTTTTAATTTTAAAAAAAAAAAAGGGGGTGGTTTAAAACAAAAAAACCAAAATTTAAGCAAAAAAAGGGGGGGGTTTTAAATTTTTTAAAAATTTTTTGGGGGTTTTAAATTTAAGGAAAAAAACCAAAACACACGGGGGGAAACCTCGGGAAAAAGGGGGGTTTTTTAAATTGGGGGGGCCCCAATTTAAAAAAAGGGGGGAAAAGCCTCGATGGTCAAAAAAGTTTTAAAAAGGGGGGGGGGTTTTTTGGAGTGGGTTGGTCTTTTTTTAAAAAAAAAAAATCCCTTGGGGATTCAAAGGGGGCAGAAGTCCCTTTAATGGGGGGGGACAAAAGAGCGTAAAAAAAAGGGGTAAGTTTACTTTAACCAAAAGGCTGGGTTTTTAAAAAAGGTAAGACAGGTAGGATTGGGAAAAAGGGGGTTTCAGGTGGGTGGGGTTGTAGGGTTTTTAATTAACATATATTGAACATATTTAGATAAAATGGG